TTGATCAACAAATCTCACAACAAGACACCATATGAGCTATGGAAAGGTAAAACTCCTAGTATCGGTTATTTTCATGTCTTTGGTTGCAGGTGCTTCATACATAACAACGGAAAGAATCATCTAAGAGCGTTTGACGAAAGAGCTGATGAAGGGCTATTCATGGGATACTCCTCTGTAAGCAAAGCATTCAGAATTCTAAACAAGCGAACAATGGTAATTGAGGAATCCATTCATGTCAAGTTTGATGAACAATCTGAGATGAACCCATCTGGATGTAAAACATCAATCAAATCAAGTCAAAATCCTCAGTAACCTGTTGACGAAAATGCCTCAGACGAAGAAGACATACTTTCGTCCTACACGAAATATCAACTAAAGGTTCCTGAACCCGAACCTGTGTTTCAAGAAAAGGTTGGAATTCAACAGAATGATCCTACATCTATCACAACATCTGAACCAATGATATACATTGATCTACCTTATATTCCTGAAATGGATGCTCAAAATCAACAAGATGCTTTTGAACCAGACCTTCGATGGTTAAAAGATCATCCATCAGATCAGGTTATTGGAAATATTCAAGAAGGTGTAAGAACAAGAGCCTCTTTGCACGAAAGTATGATAGCATGCTTCCTGTCACAAATGGAACCAAAAACCATAGAAGAAGCTCTAAAAGACCCTGACTGGGTAATATCCATGCAAGAAGAGCTTCATCAATTTGAACAAAATGAGGTATGGGAACTTGTTCCGAGACCATCTCATCAGAATGTCATTGGAACTAAATAGATGTTTAGAAACAAAATGAGTGAAGATGGGCTCATTGTTAGGAACAAAGCTCGTCTTGTTGCTAAAGGGTATTGCCAAGAAGAAGGTATTGATTTTGATGAAACCTTCGCCCCTGTAGCTAGATTGGAAGCTATTCGCATATTCCTAGCTTTTGCAGCCTATAAGAACTTCAAAGTCTATCAAATAGATGTCAAGAATGCCTTCTTAAATGGACTTCTTGAAGAAGAGGTCTATGTTGAACAACCACCTGGCTTTGCAATCAATAATGAGCTTGAAAAGGTATATCATCTCAAAAAGGCTCTTTATGGCTTAAAGCAAGCTCCACGAGCCTGGTATGATACCCTTTCATACTTTCTTATCAACTGTGGTTTCACGAAAGGAGTGGTTGATAAAACACTCTTTCGTATAAAAGATAATGACCATATTCTTTTAGTACAAATCTACGTTGATGACATTATCTTCGGAAGCACGAATCCAATCTTGTATGAAAAGTTCTCCAATCTTATGAAAGGCAAATTTGAGATGAGTATGATGGGTGAACTGAACTATTTTCTGGGTTTGCAAGTCAAACAATGCCCAGATGGAATATTCATAAATCAAGCCAAATATACCAAGGATTTAATCCGTAAATTTGGCATTGATGGAAAAAGTTCGGTTAAATTCCAATGAGTACATCCCTCAGAATGGATGTTGACAATGAAGGAAAAGATGTTGATCAAACAAACTTTCGAGGTATTATTGGCTCTCTTTTATACCTAACAGCAAGCAGACCTGATATTTCGTTTGCTGTTGGTGTATGTGCACGATTTCAAGCCAAGCCGAAAGAAAGTCACCTAAGTGCAACTAAAAAGATACTAAGATATCTTAAGGGAACGCAAAGTGTCGGTCTCTGGTATCCGAAAGATGGATCATTTGATCTAGTTGGATACTCAGATGCTGATTTCGCAGGGTGTCGAATTGATCGAAAAAGTACCTCAGGAACCTGCCAGTTCCTAGGAGGACGAATTGTGTCTTGGTTTAGCAAAAAGCAAAACTCTATTGCCACAAGTACGGCTGAAGCCGAATACATAGCAGCTGGAAGCTGCTGTGCTCAAATCTTATGGATGAGACATCAGCTGAAAGATTATGGCATAAATGCACGAGAAGTGAACATAAAATGCGATAACACGAGTGCAATCGCCATAACGAGAGAAAGAAAAATTGATCTTTTGTATGTTGTATCTTATCTTATGTACTCTCTTCTCTCGGCTCTATGAATAATAAAGCTTTATTGGCTCTGGTTTCCTTTTGAACGAGACTTTATATGTCTTATCTATCATCTGTCTAAAAATCTCGAATCAAGGACAAAATTCTTGAAAAAGAATATATTCCCTAAGGCGTGTCTTGGTCAAGTCAGTTGGACACATCTTTTGAGAGACTCAATCTCTCTATTTAATGGACCCTCTCAATCTTCTATGAAATCACTTATCACTTTCTTCAACTCATGGATAAAGGGAAGGAAAAGGCACTCACATCCGAGAGCTTATCTGAGTCTGGAAAAATGTCTCACCGTGATCTCGAGAACTCGGTTGAGAAAGGTTCATCATCTGAGAAGGAACCTGAAATCTCAGAGTTCTACTCTCTTGTTGAACTTACTCTTCTTCTAAAGCACGAAGAAAGATATCGTGCATTGTACTCTTTTGCTAAGGCCAAGGTAATGGCTGAACTAAATGACATGGAGAGACGAGGTCTCTCTAGAGAAACCTTGGGAGCAGATCACGAGACACTCATCGCTGAAGTCTTTGCTCATGAAATCCGAAAGAGGGAATACCTTGAGTACGCACGAAAGAATAAGGGTAGCAATGAGTAGAAGGGAAGCCTGCCTACAAATGCACGAGAGATCGTAATCGTTTGTGTTACGTATTGTTCTGTGTAATAATTCTCTCGGGAGAAGCATTTCTGTTGCTGTAAAAAGGACCTGTTTGACTTTATTTGTCTCACAAGTCTTATGTTATGAAAATTCTATCTACTTTCGGGTTTGGAATCATGCCTAAATATGCTTAATGTTTTCAGCTTTTATTTCCAACCGTTTAGATGAATCTTAATGGGATCATGTGGCCGAGAAAAGTGGTCCACTCCCCCACTCTGTCTGATACATGATGTGACGTGCATTTAATGCACCCATAAGCACTCGAGTGATTTTCTCTCACCTCATTAAATGAGGGAATGACCGTTTTTGATCTGCACACGATCTTATCACTCCCCCACGTTGATCAGTTACCTTTTTTTGGAGAAGAAGAACCGGGAGTGTTTTTGAATTTTAAACAATTCATCTCTAAATGGATCATCCATACCCGGATACCCGGAGTTCTATAAAACCCTACTTAAACCTTCTTGCTCTTTTTACCCTACCTTTTTCACACTTTTCTAACTCTCATTCTTCATAACCCTCTGTCTCTCTCAAATCCTCAACTATGGCAGAACATCCACAAGCATCACCATCTAATACAGAACCCGAAACTCCTTCCAACCTGGAAGTCCCAAGTTTTCCAACTGAAGACCTGAGATTCATTGAATCCAGAGTACCCTTCATCGTAGGGGGAAGTATGTGGGACGCGCATGGATTCATTGAGTATATCTTGGATAGAAGATTTGGTGAAAATATCATACATCTTCTCACAGAAATAGGATTATATGGCTTCATCACACATCTTTATACTATTCGGCACCCGGTTGATGTAACCCAGTTCTATATGAATGCTTCAATATCTTCTGATTATCAGACTATTACTTCCAGAGTCAATAATCATCATGTGGTTCTTACCTCGGAGGACGTTCGATCAACATACGGGTTTCCACAGAGAGATGAGTCCTACAAGTCGGATATTATCTATTATCATCTCGACCCAGAGGAGTTCTACGAATCCATCAAGAACAATCACGCACCATCCAAGGCAGAAATCACATGGCCGTTGAAGAAGAAGTGGTTCCGGCTAGATTATGAGTTTACTGTTGATATTTTCAATAAACTTGTTGATCACAAGACCTCGGGCACAGATGATGTGACGAAGGAGAAGTTGAAAATGCTGCATGCCTTCTTAAATGAATTTAAAGTCGACTGGTCAAAGATCATCTTCAACAATATTGTTCACACCATCACCTTTCATCGAAAGAGTCCAGGAGACATTGCAAAGAAGTTAGGATATGGTTTTGTGACAAGCCATCTTCTGGCAACGAAAGGAGTCATTCTGCGCCCAGGAATTCGGCCTGGACAGAAAGCATGTCACATGAAACAAAAACCATCAGGGTATGACAAGCAGAAGGCATTGGAGTTGGGAGTCCCTATTGAGCAGGTCAAAGCCAAGAGGAAGTCAAGAACACCTAGGGTTTCAGAAGATGATCAACCCAAGCCGAAACGACAAAAACGAGAAAAACATTCCTCTCGGAGTAAGGCGAAAAAGGCAGAAGAAACTCCAGCTGTTCCAATCCCTCCAAAATCTCCACAAGAGAAGAAAGATCCAATTCCACCTTCTCCTCTACCAGAAACAATATTTGTCAAAGATTCATCCGAAGACGAAGATAATCTGATTCTCTCTAGAATCATAAAAAAGAGTCACTTTCGGTCTCCTTTCAAGGCTAAATCTTTCCCGAAGGAACCTTCTACACCGAAAGCAGAAGACACGAAAGATGCATCCCCATAGGGAGAAATAATCACGAAAGAAGCACTTTCTGAGGGGGAAGCTCAACCGAAAGATGTTCTTCTTGAGAAAATTTCTGATGTTCAAGAACCCAAGTCTAATCTCGGTTCTCCTCAAGACCACCATCCACAAGAACCTACCTTAGCAGATCAACTTCTTCGTGAGTTGACACAAGAACCTGCTGATGTAGACATGGAGGCCAGTCGCCTAAGTCTTCCATAAGAACCTGGGTCACCAGAAAAGACGATAGAAGCGACTGATGCTTTGATCAATTTGCCTTGTCTGCCACAAGAACCTACCAATACAGAGCAGGTAATTCTGACACAAGAACCTGTGTTGGTAGACGAGACAGCCGTTGTGCAAGTAACATCTCCGGATATCCCGAAACCTTCAGCTCCAGCTCCTGAAGTAAAAGTTCCTCGACCTTCACGAGATAAATTGCTCAGAGAATCCATTGAAAGGGATTATAAACGAGTCCTGCAGTGGCAAAACTGGCGAACTGCTCCCCTAAGAACTTTTCTTGAAACATTTGAAGAAATGCAGGACGAAGAAGCCTTTGCACTTGAATGGATTAGCACTGATGATATCTCCAAAGCTCTTCGAATTGAAGAAATCAATCGAGTATTCTCTTACAAGATGACAAATCGCACTCTCGGGAGAGATAAAGCTCCAATCTGCATCGAACTTAACAAGCCACCCTTGGATCCAGTTTTTGAAGAAGAAATGAAGCAACTTCGATATGCCATGTTGCTATCAAAGATCAAGACCACATTAGAGAAGGAACACCAAAATGATCCAAATTGTAATGTCAGTGGCACGAAAGATGAGCTTGGACGAGAGATTGAAGAAGACGAAAGTGCTGAAAATGAAGATGAAGATGAAGATGATAATGATGTCGGTGATGCTGATGATGAGAATGATGATGATGATGATGACGATGGTGATAATAATGATCAGTTGGGTAATGTAGGTGCTCAAGAAGCCGACCCTGAAGACAGTCATACATTCTTAATCGGTCCTGACTATGACACCTATCCTCAAAGATCTCCCTTAAGAAAACTACCCTCTGACAGTGATGACTCAGAAGAAGTTTCAACTAACCATCCAGAAGACCTGTCTCGTGCTATCGTTCCACATATCCAACCCATGGACGAGACTCCGATCATGCAAGAGAAAGCAACAGTGCGTGAGGGCAAACTGGAAGCCTCACCAATTCTTCTTAGCTCAGCCAGTGGTGGAAAATGGGAAGCACCACCTCAAGATGATCACATGGATACATCGCCAACAAACATTGAGGAAGAATCCACTGCAGAGTCCCCACGGACTATCATGAACCTCATGAGAGAAACTGTTCATTCAGCCGAAACCATCCATAAACAATATCTTGCTCTACGAGAAACAGACACGAAAGTTATGGATGATCTGTGCAAGAAGGTCAATTTTCTGATAGCAACACAATCTCAACCTCGACCTCCACCTCCAGCACAGCCTCAACCGCAGCAACAAAGCCAATCAGATCACAAGATCCTTGAGAGAATGACAAAGAAACTTTATGATCTCGAAGCTGCCTTGAACAAAGTTGCGCGGCAACAACACGAAATCAAACACTCTCATTTTGGCCTCAAATAGCGTGTTGATTTGGCCTGTACAAAGATTGACACATATCAAGACAATTCGTACCAACTGGGAGAATATGCACTTCAAATTCTCGGGTATGCTCAGGATATCTTGCTTGCAATCAACAAGGTCTCCTCTATTCCTCCTACCACCTGTGCTGATGATGCCAAAAAGGGGGAAAAGAGAAATGACGACAAAGATAAGGATGATGATCAGCCGAGATATAACATGAAAGATCAAATTCCAGAAGAAAGACATTCTCCTTCTCGGACACCAAGAGACTCTGGCCGAAAGAACACGAATCCATCTCATCCACCTTCCAGGTCTCGTGGTTATTATTCCTCAAATCAAAGATATCGTGGTCGTTACCAATCCAAACCAATTAAGCCTCGCCAATCCTTCGGATCTGAAGCCAAGTATATCTTCACGGGTTTACCCAAGAGAGAGCAAACGAAACTAAGGCAAAGAATTATGAGAGACAACAAAGTAACTATGGATGGCATAGGAAACTTTGTGGACTTTGTTCCATATGAAGAAGGAAGTGGAAAACGTTTTGAGGGTTGCAATGTCCCTACCTGGCTCAAAACTAGGGATAATCATACAAGACAAGATCACATCAGCACTCAAAACGAGAGGATCAAAAGAGAAAATAGAGATCTGTGGAAGAAACACGATGAAGAAAGAAAAAGAAGAGAAGATGAAGCAATGGAAAGAGAAAGGATCAGGAATCTCATTGAAGACCTTTCTAGTGTAACCAAAGACTCCCCACAGAATGTCATTCACAATGCAGCTTTCAAAGTACACAAGGAATCAGGAAAGAGCTACCAAGAAGGCATGAATTCGTTTGAACTGATCTCGTGGTGGAAGTCTGGTATTGTTGAAGGAAGCAACATTCGTGAAGCCTACAACAATTACACTGGCCTGAATATCAAAGGAGAACATGAAGAGCTTGTCAGGTCTAATCCTATTAAAGTCTTCAGAGCAAAAATCAATGAGAAAATAGACTTCAACAGGATGTTAAAGCAACAAAAGGAAAGGGATGACCAAAAATCCAAGGAAGCTGAACAACAGAAATCAAAGCTTTTAGAAATGTAAGTTAACTTTTGTTCTGTTTTTCTTCATAAAGTTTTTGTAATGATCACATCTTTATATATGAAACTCTCATTGTCACACATCTCGTGTCACTTGTCTGAGTTACTTGTCCTTGTCTCGCTTTTTAACGCTTTAATCTAGAAAAAGACTTGTAAACTCTCAAGTATGGCTGTCTTTATAATAGAAAAATCCTTATGGAACTTTAAGAGGAGTATAGGTTTTGGCATCATCAAAAAGGGGGAAATTGTTAGGAACATTGTATTAGGATTTTGATGATATATACCAATGTAATGTAGAAAAGTAGACCCCTAACCTTTAGCTTTTTCAATCGCTGCTTTCGTCCTAAACGAGAGCTGCCATAACTCCTATGTAATTCGTGTTAAGCTAGACAAACACACGAAAATGAGTTATGATTAGATGTTAGGGTCTCTAAGGCGAAAGAAGACACGAGACATGAAGAACAACAACGAGAGTCAAGAAGGAGTTGTCAACAAACACGAAAAGACAGTTCTTTATGAAGACGATCTGTATCAAACATTACTTCTCTTCAACAACGAGAAGAATGTTCTAGCTGTCTGATTTGACAACATCCTAGGACAATAAGGACCTCATCTTAAGGGACACACTTTTCAAGGAACATTAAATGAAGATGTACCATCTTCTGAAGCTATAGGACAAAACCTAATTCTTTCCATACCTCCAACGGCTACATGGTACAACCTCATTAATGGAGCATTTAATGCATGAAGCTCCCCGGTCCTTGTCCAATGGTTAAAAGGTTCGAAAATCTCATCTCCCTCCAACGGATGAATTTTCATCACCTATATAAACCCTGTAGGAACCGTTGGTAGGAAAAACAAATAATAATCAAATAAAATATGACTATTATTTTTTCTGGAAAGGAGGGAAGAAAAGATGAAGAAAAAGGCTAGTGTTTGGTGTTGGGTTTTTGCAAGAGTCGAGTGAGCACTCTTTCCTTAAAACCTTATTTACCACCTCCCAAAGATGCTAGGAGCGTTGTGGCCTAGGCTTCCCAGGATAAAACTTGCTATGATTCAGTGTTTGAGCATTCAAACAAAGAATCCGACGAGCAAGACGTGGTTATGAACACAGTATGGCTTAAAGAGAGAGTAGAAGCAGAGAGGTTTTTAGGCTAAAAGATGAACTTTCGTGTTCTATATTTTCTGTGTAAAACTCTACTGCCCAACTCCTGTTTATATAGGGGTGAATGATTTAATAGCTTTTAATTAGGCACTTAAGGGCACCCCTTCACCTTCCTGTAACAGCACCATTAGCATGGCCTTCAATTCAAAATTTAAAATTGGAATTAACTCAGAAAATTAATTCCGTAACAGTAGAATTGAAGAGCCAACGGTCAGAAACTGCACAGGTTCGTGTAGGCCGAAACTTCCAGTTTCGACCCCAGGCCGAAACTGGAAGTTTCAGCCATGGGTCCCAAGTCTCAGCCCAAGTGGCCGAAACTATGGCAACTACTTAGTTTCGGCCACTTGGCCGAAACTTTGGTAGTTAGGCCGAAACCTGGGAGGTTTCGGCCACACCCAGTGGCTTGTGTTGGAAAATTTATTCCGAAGTTTGGCATAACTTATGCCAATTTCCGGACGACATTCGTGCCCGCAGATGCCGGCGCACACGAGCTCGGGCTTGAATCAAGCATTTTCAATCTCTACTAGTTGGAATTTGATTTGCACCCCCCCCCCCCCCGCGCGAGAGAGCCTCTATACTATACAATTTTACAAGCTTCAAAAGAGCTCTTGTATATAAGGGGGGAAAATCTTCATTCCAAAGTAATGTGGGACAAAAGCTCACTTTTTCCCTTCATTTTCCAACTCAAATGGGTCTACTTTGAGAATCAATATCTCATTCACCCATTATCCGTTTTGAGCGTACAATATATCAATCTCTTCGTCTCACTACAAAGTATCCGAATCCACTTTGACCCGACCCAAATCGGAAGTGGACCCCACTGATAATTGTACTACAAAATAGCCACTTAACATGCCATTTTATGCCATTTTAAGCTATTTTTTCCAACAATCCCCCACATGAATGAAAAATTGATTTTCGGGGTATTTTGAAATCGGAAACAACTGTGTTCAAATGGTCGATCCCTGCATAGGATAGGTAGGGAGTCACTATACCCTTTGAACCTTCCCTCGTGAAAACATGTTTACTCTACTGGCTGTACGGTAGAACGCGATGTCTTTGAACCGACTGCCGTTTGTGTAGACGATGACATATCTCACACAGGAATCTCCCAACCATGCTCTTGCTCTCATGAGTGTGCCCGTTTTGGTCGTGGGTCACCGTTCCTGGTTCTGCGAGAGTTTCTAAAGAATTGTGCCCAACAATTCTCCTTTGAAGCGACCCTCACTTCTCTCTAACATAGGTGATTCTTTCTCGAGTATCCCGCATACTCAATAATCATTAAAGCATTAATATGCTAGCCTCTTGCGGGAGTCACTGTTTTAACGAGGAGTGGTAGGGAGTCCGAGACCCCCATAGTGACGCGCTCCGTTCCATAATTTAGTTGTACCATTGAACCTAGGTGCCAGCTAGGTTGGGTATCCACTATAGAACATTTTAGTCCAAGGGCATTAGACCCATTCCTCGTGTCAACTTCTCCACAACTTCTCTTCCTAACCCTTTGGTCAGCGGATCCGCTATATTGTCTTTTGACTTTACGTAGTCAATCGAGACAACACCAGTTGTGAGTAATTGTCTAATGGTATTATGTCTACGACGCACGTGTCTAGACTTACCATTATACATATGACTCTGTACTCTCCCGATTGTGGCTTGACTATCGCAATGCACACATATTGGAGGTACCGGTCTTTCCCAATTAGGAATATCCTCTATAAAATGGCGTAGCCATTCAGCCTCTTCACAACCTTTGTCCAAGGCTATTAGCTCAGATTCCATCGTGGATCTAGCTATCACAGTTTGCTTAGAGGATTTCCATGCACCGGCTAGTGTAAACACGTAGCCACTCGTGGACTTAGAGTCCTTAATATCAGAAATCCAATTCGCCGTCGCTATACCCTTCAAGTACAGCGGGATATCTCCCGTAGTGCAGTCCAAGATCACGAGTATACCTCAAGTATCTCATAACCTTTACTATTGCCTTCCAGTGCATAGCACCGGGGTTACTCGTATATCTACTGAGTTTACTAACCGCATAGGCAATATCCGGCCTAGTACCTCTCATAAGATACATCAGACAACCAATAACCCGAGCATATTCCACTTGTGAAATACCTTCTCTGTGGTTCTTGGTTAGATGATTATTTGTATCAAATGGTGTCCTAGCCACTTGACTATCATCCTTGTTAAATTTCTCAAGGATTTTGTCAATATAATGTGATTGGCTTAACACGAGACCATTAGGTCTCCTAATGATTCTAGTCCCGAGGATTAAATCAGCCAAACCCATATCCTTCATGTCAAATCTCGCATTTAACATGTTTTTGGTAGACTTGATCATCCGATCATTACTACCAACGATGAGAATATCATCGACATATAAACAAAGAATGACGTAGCCGTCTATCGTTTCCTTAACGTAGACACATTTGTCACTTTCGTTTATTTTAAACCCGTTAGTTAACATCGCATGGTCAAACTTTTCGTGCCACTGCTTAGGCGCTTGTTTTAAACCATAGAGCGATTTGACCAACTTACACACTTTCCTCTCTTGGCCCGGAACCACGAACCCTTCGGGTTGTTCCATATAGATTTACTCATCTAATTCGCCATTTAGGAAAGCGGTTTTCACATCCATTTGATGAACTTCCAAGTTCCGCAACGCGGCTATGGCAAGTATCATTCTTATGGAGTTTATTCTCGTCACGGGAGAATATGTGTCGAAGTAATCGAGGCCCTCGCGTTGCCTGTAACCC